TTTTTGTTTTTTTTTTTTTTTTTTTTTTTTTTGGTACCAGGGATCGAACTCGGGTCTTTGCGCTTGCAGGGCAGGCGGCAGAACCACTGAGCTAAATCCCCGGCCCTCTATGGGATTTCCTTATACTATTCTTGTAACTTTCTGTAACATGAAACTGTGTTAAAATTAAAAATGGGGTAGCAAAAGCAAATGAGAAAATAACAAAACTCTGATGTACGCTATAACATGCAGCGAAACCTCTGTTCATCAACTCAGTCTTTTCCACGATTCTGCTCACAAACCAACTTGGACAAGAGCTGAATCAAATTTCCCCATAAGATCAACATTAAACCTAACCATTGAATTTGATTTGCTTCCTGTCCGAATGGCTTTGGCATCACAGGAAGAATTCAGTGCATGAAACTGGAGGACCCTGTGCTGAGTGAAATGGGCCAACCTCATATGAGTCCACTCATGTGAGGGACCTCGAATGGTCAGACTCACAGAGGCTACAGTAGAAAACCTCCTTGTGAGAAAGGGAGAGAGCAGAGGCTTCCAGGTGCTGTGAAAAGAGAAGCACGGGGAGCTGGTGTTTAATGGCTACACGTTTTCTGTTCTGTGGGATGGAAAGACTTCAGGGCATGGCTGCTGGTGGAGGATGGTCCGGGCTATGTTCAGATGTCTCCCTATAGCCTCATGTGATCACCGGCAGGGCCTTTGAGAGGTGAGTGGATTACGGGGGCGAATAGCCGGCTTGCTGTTGGAAGTCAGGGTCTGGTGAGAAGGCTGTCCTTAGAGTGCATCTCCCCTCCCAGCTTCCGCCTTGACTCAGCTCCTTCCTGTCCTCCATGACACAAGCAGCTCTCTTCTGCCGAGGCATCCTGCCTTGGAGCCAGCTAGACATAGCTTGAAGTGAGAGCTAAAACAATGTTTCCTCCTTTAAGTTGCAGGTATTTGGTATTGTGTTTCAGCACCAAGAAAGAGACTAGGACAAATTTTGGTACTAAGGAGAGGGGTTATTGCGGTGACACTACCTGACCATGGTTTAGATGGTAAGGTCTGCGGAGTTGACTTGAGAAGCAGCCCTAGAATGCTGTGAACTGGCCTTGCTGGGAGATTCTGGTCAGAACTCACATCAGAATGTGGATTACAATGCAGACGGTAAAGACCACACTCAGGAGGTTTCATTTGGGAACAAGGACCCCATCGGCATTTGGACTGCAGGTCATGTGTAGTAAGTGTGGGCAGGAAATTTGTCTTCATTTTGCTCATGTCCAGAGATTTTGCAGGAGACTGAGATCAGGGGCAGTGGGCTGATTAACCTGACAGAGAAAATTTCAAGGCAGCCCAACATTCAAGCTGTGGCATAGGTGCTGATGGGGGCTTTTAGCCACCCCAATATTGAGCACCAAGTGCAAACAGTACCACTGAGTGACTTAAAAAGTTTTGTGTTCCACCTGAAAGGAAGCTAAGTTGGGGCCTGTAAAGTTGGAACACAGGAGAGCCTGGCTGCTGAGAAAATTACCATTAAAAAGAAGCCAGGGCTGGGGACGTAGCTCAGTGGTGCTACCGCCCACCTCGAAAGTGCAAGGTCCCGATTTCCATCCCCTGTACAAAACAACAACAAAACAAAAACCAAAACCCAAAAGAAACCAAAGGGACAGGGATGTAGCTCAGTGGTGCTGAACCCACCTGGCAAGTGCAAGGTCCTAAATTCAATCCCCAGGATCAAAAAAAAAAGAGAGAAGGAGATGGAGAAGGAGAGGTAGGAGAGGAAGAAGACGCGGCCAAGGACTTTGGGATAAGAGAATAGAAAGGATGGCGTGAGGGCATGTGAAGGACCAGGCAGGTCCCGTCCGGCGCAGGCTCAGGATTAGCAAGTCGGAAGACTTTGCTTTGACAAGACTGCCTCCGGGAACCCTGCTAACAATGGCTGCCTAGGGAACGGCCTCAGCCGTCCAGGCTCGCGGGATTGCCACTGCTCCGGCTGGCGCAGACCCTGGCGACATCCACACGGTGCCGGTTCCAGGTGCACTCAGAATGCGAGAGTCGTGGGGTGAGGAGGGTTCCCACCCAGATTTCAGAAGAAGGCCTGGGAGGGCAGCGGGGGAGGCCGGGCGTGTGGCGCGAAGGTGCTGCGGTCACCCCAGAAGTGCAGAGGAGCCAGGAGCACGGGACAGCCGAAGGAAGCCACAGGAGTGAGCAAAGCCAGCCCAAAGGCAGGACCCCGAGGGCTCCCGACACCGCAGACTCCTACTGTGGGGCTGCGGAGGCCGTCGGGAGTTCGCATCTCACGACCTTCCTTGGGTGCTGGACGTGGAGCTACAGGAAATAACGTTTGCCTTGCTGCTTCAGTCTTTCTTGGTCTCGCTGGTTTCCATCCCTCTATTTCCTCCCTTTTGGAGTGAGAATGTTTACCCTTTGTTTAACTTCTTTTTTATTTTTACAGGGGCTCGCAGCTAAGTGTTTGTCCTAAGTTTCAGAGGAGTCTTTGTATTTGGGCTTTTTCAGCAATGCTGCAACTGTTAGTACTTTGGCAGCTCTTAGAGGATTAAGTGAAATTTGCAGGGTTGGGCATGAGTCTCTCCGAGGCCGGGGAGCAATACTTTAATTTCTATCACATGTCGCCAAAGAGCCTCATGCCGTCACAGGCGGGCCCTCTGGGAGGGGGAACTGCAGCTGATTT